AATTTGACGGGTACTGGTGACCGCCCCCAAGGGTTGCCAAAGTGTACGGGTTCGGTGACCCCCCTAAGGGTCGCCATTTGTACGGGTTCGGTGCCTGCCCTCAAGGGTCCCTTAGTGGAATCACGGCATCATGCATTGTGCGAGGGCGTGAGGAGATTACGGTGGCCCTAGTGGCTTCTTGGGGAGCATTGTGCCTCCACAACGCTTCAAACGGAGATTAGCATCCGCAAGGGTGTGAACTTCGGGATACATCATCGTCTCCGCGTGCCTCGGTTATCTATTACACGAGCCCTTTACTTATGCACTTTACTTTGTGATAGCCATATTGTTTCTTGTCGTATATCTTGCTATCACATAGTTACTTATCTTGCTTAGCATAAGTTTGTTGGTGCACATAGGTGAGCCTAGTTGTTTTAAGTTTTGTGCTTGACAAATTAACTGCTAGGTTTATTCCGCATTTGTTCAAGTATAAACCATAATTAGTTTAAAGCACCTATTCACCCCCCCTCTAGGCGACATCCTCGATCTTTCACGCAGCTACTTAGGGAATCTTCAAGGCGGACCCTCAAACCCATATCATATGTCCGGACCTTTTATTCATCCAACGGGGACTTGTATATGTCGTTTAGCAGCCCGGACATACGTATTCAGGTATCCTAGAGACAAACGTGGGGGAGCTTTGTCAGAGTCCGGACACACACTTTTTTTCTAACACGGTACAGATGCAAGGCGCTCATACATACGCGCATACACTCATCCATATGAACGCACGCACACACACCCTACCTCATGAGCACCTTTGAGTGACAAAGCCGACATATCATCTTGAGATTTACGAAGTCATCGTAGGTGCCTCGTCGTCGACGGCAACGTCTCCTCCCACTGGAAGCGCATCGCCGGAAATCCTGAAATAAATCCAGGAATAATGCGAGCATCAGGATTTTAAGAAAAAAGGTTTCCCCCCGCTTTATATTATAAAGCAAACCTCCGATACATCCAGCACGCTGGGGCCGCAGCACAGATAAGCCCAAGAGAAAACAAAAGAAAATGAAAGAGAAATGAATGCCGACACCGGCAGATCAACGACGAAAGGAAGACCGACAACCGCTGCACCCTCCGACGAAGTACCACCGCGCTCCCAGCATCTCGAAGCGCCTCGCACCAAGCAACACCTTCAAGAAGGAATCCGACGACGCCGCCGTTGTTGCCCGAACAAGTTCTAGGGTTTCCCCCGGTACGCGAGGGATGGTGGGGAAGGGATATATCTGACGCCCTTCAGGAGGGTCCAATGGCGCCAGCAAGCGTCACCGCGTCGGTGCCGGACAAGCCGACAAGGATTTCTCCCGATCCACAACCACCACCATCACCCGAGGCACTTCGAGATGCACCACCACAACAGCCGCCCACCAGCCTGTGCCACCACGGTTACCGGACACCCCAGCCGTCTCACTGGAGCTGCCAACACAAGGCCTAGCTCGGGCAAGGAGACCCCGGCCACGGGAGCGAGCACCACCCGGACGGGGGAGGGGGCAACCTCCACCGCCGCAGCGGAGCCGACCGGACGCGGCGACGAGGACTTGCCGGGCCTCGACTGCCCGGCCGGGTCCACTTGGACCCGGACAATCCTGTCGCCACGCTGCAACTCGCCGACCGACGAAATCCTCACCACCCGAGACCGCCGCCACCATGCCATCACCAGGAAACGACGCCACGGAACACCAAGCCACCGGCCCACCCAAACCCAGATGGGGCCCAAAAGGGCCCAGATCTGGGCTGGGCGAGCGCCGCCAGCCACCAGCGCCACCGCGCTGCCCCACGGCCAACGGCCGCACCGCCGCGTCGAGCACCACCGTGGCACGCGGCATCACCGCCGACGGG